ACCATTGTAGTGGTAAACCAATTAAAATGGAATTATCATTCAAATATTTAGGAGTGACAATAGACTTTAACCTAAAATGGTCAGAACACAAACACTAATATTRAAAATGAAATGAGGATCTTAACTGTATTATTTTATGAAATTTGATTTATAAAATATATTTACAAGACACTATGTAGGTAACTCTATTATTATATGGCATAACATGTTGGGGAGGCACTAACAGAACAGACATTAATACATTTCATATTAGACAAAAAATTATTGTAAAAGTTGCATACTCCTTAGCATTAAAATAGGTACCCATCAGATGTATTCAATAATTCAGATTAYTCAATGGTTGAATTTCAACCATACAAATAATGAATATATTATCTATTTATAAATTATAAATTAGGCAAATTATAATTAAATCCATATACAAAACCTAMACCGCACACTTAAAAAACTTTCTTAACTGCTCAAATAATCATTTTCAACAAATTAAATAACAAAGTAAAGAATCTAATAAAAAAATAGGTGAAAGTCAATCCAATAATACCAATAATATAATTAATAAAAAATTAAATAAAAAAGGCAATACATAAAATAGTTAATAATCTTGGTGTTAATGTGTGTATCAATACAATTTTTAAAAGTCTGTATGTCTAAACATAATATCATATAATATGTATATTATGCTGATGTTAAGTTTTGTTTTCTTAAGTATATAATATAATTACTATAGGTACTATAATTATATATAATATTATTATGTTATGTTTATTTAATTAAATCATATTTTTATTTGCATAATTTTTTTTGCTATGGTACAAATTGTAACATCGTTGAACTCCGTATACCAGATACGAGCTTATATAAATAATTAATTACACCAAATAAAATAAATTCCACTCATATAATAAGTGTTAGTATTGACGGCATTCTGTTTTTAATTTTAATATTTTATCATCTTGCAAATTACTTCATCGCAGATGCACGCAATAATTACGTGGGCTAGTAAAATAAAACTAATAATTTCAAAAATTAAAAAAAAAAATAAAACTAAAAAACTACAGATCGTTGAATTATTTAAATAAAATCATACATAATAATAAAAACAAAATGGCCGAAAAAGCACTGAATATGTTTTTCAMACAGAAAAATAATACGAGATAAAATGATTATTTCTTAATTTAGTAATTGCTATTGTGCCAAGTACATACCTTTTCTTTGACATTATGCTAAACGGTGAATAGTAGCGTCGTAATTAGATTATTTCACAAACTCACAAATGATGAAATGACCATGCTATCCGTATTACCCTCACGATACACGAAGAATACACGATGTAAAATGGTGGCAACTCACGGTCACCGATATTGTGGTTTCTAGTAACCAGCCAAAAGATTCAATTGTTGCAGGGGCATTCAGCACCGAATCCACGATAGTGTTACCTACATAACCACAGCGTTTGTTGTATATTTACGACAGTTGGCGCTCTGCACACTGTTACACACACGCCATTTAAATTTATTTAAAAGTTAAAATTAAGCTAAAAAGACATTTTTGGTTAATGTTTAACCTTGACAAGTGATTATTTTTTTAATCGACATATAAACTTAACTGAATAAATTGACAGTGGAAATAACTCAGCATTTATCGGTTGATTTTAAAATAATGCATTAATAGTTAAACATTTTTTGAATTTTTCGTTTATATGATTTAATACAAATATTATTGATTGTATACATAAATATTAATAAAATTAAAATAATCCAATACTATAATAATTTTATTTTGCTTGATCAATAAATTGTATATATATATATATTATGTATATTTTTTTAGTAGGTTGATTAGATAGAAATTATATTTGCTGAGTATATAATTGCTATGTGATATAAATAGTTATTTTTTTTATGTCAAATGAATAACACGTTAGCTCCCTCCCGTTAGTCAAGGTATGGGAAATGTATATTAAATTGAAATTAAATATCTCTATAATATGATGTATTTGCTTAAACATTACGCAAAAGTATCAAATGGTCTAACAAAAATGATTTAAACCATCGTAAATGGCGGCTCAGTTCGTCATCGTATAATGGGTTTGACGGTGAATTTTCACACGGAATCAACACAAAGTTTAATTTACCAGAACTTCTGAACGCACACAAAATGAAAATGAAACATTAAACAATCTTGTAATCAAATTACAAGCGAGTTTACAAGCGTAATTACAAAGCTAACTACGTGTCATTCAAGTGAGTAATATTAATACTAAAAATATTATTATCAATAAAAACTTAAACAATATAAATACATATGAAAAAACGGGCCACAGTTCAGAAAATTGTTCATGCTCMCCGAAAAATCGCATCAAAAGATAATAATAATATCATCAAATCAGWACCAAAAATATATTATACACTACCAATTACAGCGAATGGTGTTAACGGTACGCAGAACTTAATTACTGTTTTAACTTGYCAAAGAAGCCACTGGCAATGAATAGCAACTGAAAAATTTCGGTAACGGTGACATAAAAATCTCAATACAGGATGAACACCATTTTATATGTGAACATTAAAATTTCTTGAAACTAACAAAATTGAGTTCCATAAATATCAATAATTGAAAGACAAAAAAAAATTTTGCTTCGTAATAAGTGGATTGCATCCACAAACTAGAATGTGGGAAATTAAAAGGGATCTATCTAAGATTTGTCTGCATACCATATCTCAAAAATTTAAATTTAAAAAAGCTAAATCCCAAAAATGAAAAAAAAAACAAAAATGAGCTTATAAGATAACCTTTTTTTTTCGTGGACTTCGTCCCACAAGAAAGTAATAAAGATATTTACAAGTTAGATAGTCTATCTTGTCTATTTTATCATAAAATTAAAATATAACAGTCAAAAAAAAAATGTACCTAGGTGTAAAAACTGGCAGTCTTTTGACCATATATTTACCAATTTCTGTTACAAAAAATGTCTGTGTGTAAAATGCGGTGAAGAGGATAGAACAGATGAGGCCATAAGCCAAAAAAAAATCATACCGCAAATTGGTAGGGTTGCTCTGCTTACAAAAAAGCACAACCAAAAAAGGTTTCTAAGTACAACTAATTTAACAAAAAACTGTCATAGAGTCCATATAATATATGCCCAGATGACTAGCTATCCCAACGTTGACATAACGCTCCAAAATTCCAATCAGCAAAACAGTCCAACGAAAACGGCTCAACGTTAATAAATATATATTATCTGTTGTTGTGTTCCAACTGACGCCGATATACATATAAACGTGAAAATGAATACTTGATGTATTTGGATAAAATTTTGTTTATTTTATACTTAATACAAAAATACAATAATGGTTAACACAAWGTGGTGAGTGGTGTTACCMCCCGACTCTAAAATTAATAGCTAAGACTGTGAGTGATTTTACGACCTGCCTCCAAAATGTCTTACTTATCCCAATAACCCTATTTGGCTAACAATYTGTTTCATATTCTGTAACTGTCTGACAATCTCTTTACTTCGTCTCTCTTATGTATCATTTTGTCTTTAAGAGTGGTGGTTGTGGTGGTGGTGGTGACTTTCCTGTTACCTACATATCGAAATTTGGGTATCGTGATTCAACTTAGTATGTTTCATATCCTTTCTCGTGAATTTCGAATCCTTTCCGAGAAGAGACGTGTAATAACACTTTTATAGTTTGATTATTTATAATATCATATTCACCACGCTCCTATCAATGACCTCCGCGTACCTTAGATATTAATGGTTTAATTAGTTTTAGTCGTTAGATACACCCATATAGTCACAAATGTGTGCTATCTTGTACATATTATATAGGTAAGAAACACTGCTTTAACTAATATAACAAAATCGGTTGTTAAAAATGTTGTTCCTGGAAAATCAGCTGTAATGTGTTCAAAACATTTTACCAAAAATGATTTTAATCCATCTGATTTACGTCGTCAAAAACTTATGCCGAATTCTAAGATTCTTGTTCATTTAAATGCTGGTGTTTTTCCTACTATTTTTTCACAACATGGTTCTAGTCAAACGTTAAACCGAACGGATAGTAACCTTGCGAACGCAACGCTCTTCTAGAACAACATTGCCAAATATGTTAAATTCATTCAAAAATAAGTAATTACACCGAAAAAAAAATAATTCATGCAATAGCATCGAAAAATGTATTACAGAATGTGAAWCTGTAGACGGCAGTTTGATAACGCTTCTACAAGTACAATAAACTCAAAAAAATAAATAAAATTTGGTACAAATGATATCGGTATACAATGTGACATCAAAAATCACTCTTTACATCGTGACAAAGTAAATAAATTATTGTTTGACCAGCCATCGGAAGATAATTCGTCAGAAGAAGATGAAKGGTTTGAGGAATTTTCTGAAAGTGATCATATCATAATGACCAATCACAACAACTTACAGATGATTCAAACAAATTTAGTAATAATTCGTGCTTTATTATATTTGGTAGTGTTTATCTGAATTAATAACACGTGCCGTTAATGTTCTTCTTCCGTAGTGGCAAAAAAACATTATCTTCAAGATGCATTACTCTCAAGTCTCAATTACAACCAAATGTGAAAAAGGACATACGTTACAATGGAATTCTCAACAAAAGAATGGTAAACAACCAGAAGGTAATATATTAATAGCTGCTTCGTTAGCATTGTCGCGAATTCTTTTCAATCAAATGACTGCATTTTGTAATACTTTGAAACTTAACTTTTTACGAGAACTGTATATGATAAATTTTTAAAACTTTACATTGGGCCAGTTATTTGTAATGTTTGGGAAAAAGAAAAAAAAAGTTTAAAAGAACTTAACAATGGGTCTAATAAAATTTTGCTTGTGGGCGATGGACAGTTTGACTCTCCTAGGTTCTGTGCAAAATATTGTACTTATTCAATGATGGACGTGCAGATAGGAAAATAATTAGTTTTAAATTAGTTCAAAAATTAATGGTTCGAGGTGATTTATAACGTTATGCTTGTGGATCGTTGCTTAACGAATTAATTGATGAAGACAATTGCAAAATAGATATTTTTCTTACCGATAAACACAAGGGTATTCGATGTGACGAGTATAAATCATTCGAATATTGAACATTAGTTCGACATATGGCATATTTCTAAAAGTTTAATGAAACGTATGAAAACATTAGACAAAAAATATCTGGATGCGTTTTTGTGTAACGCCAGTATTAGCAATCATTTATGGTGGTCTGCGCAAACATACCATAGCGACGGAGATTTGTTATTGAAGAAATTTACTTCTATTTTAAGGCATATTAGTAATATACTCAATACTCAAATGGGTTGAAGATGGTGAATAATTAGTAAAATGTGAACATGCACCACTATCAAACGATGAAAAACGTAATAAACTTTGGATAAATCAAAATAGTGAATCTTACAATGCTCTAGAAAAAAAAAACAACTGGCACTCGGGGACTGCCACGATAAAGGTATTGCATATTAAATAAATAAGAATATAATTTGAAATTTTTTAATCTGGTTATTCAGGAATTTGTRTCATGGAAACTATAGGTCTATGATAACTAAAATATGAAACATAAGTTTGAGATTTAATTTTCTCCAAATATCTGGAAAATACGGCGTTGATGTTGGTCCCATATTTTGTAGTAGATTGTTGTGGATCATATTATTCATGCGTAAATTTGATTTTTCTAAGAGAAACGTTGTTAGTCGCTCTGATTTTGTATCTGTGAAGTTGATGTAGAAATCACCAGCTATGATAAGTGGATATTTATGAGAATTTCCTCCGAGTATTTTTGACCCTTCTACAGTGTAGGTACTCCAGTAAGGTGCGATGAATAAAATATTCTACCTCGTCCAATTTTGGATTCGATGTAATGTAATATGTAAATGACTACCATGACTATTTCTAGGCTATTTTGCAGTTTGCATAAGCACGCACAAATATCTCAAACATTTGAGCGTCTAACATTTAAATCCACAACATTTGCCACATTTATTTCAATATTCGGAGTCATAATATTGATTATAAGATTTGACAAAATGTATTTGTTTTGTTGGTAGATAACAGTGAATTATAATAAAATAATAAATAAATGACAACGCAGCATGTCTAATACACTGATTAATTTTATCATATCGAGATATAAATATATAAATGTATATTATACATGTACTGTATATTAAAAGTACATTAATTGGGTACACACGAATTGCGTACCAAAACAGGTAGACGAACCTTTTTGAACGAATTCCGTCCGGGACGCAATTCGTGTTAATTTTTCATCTATAGTTAATTATTGTAAGTGGTTCTTAAAATGATATTGTCATAATAAAGATATGCCAGGTTATATAAAAATAATGAAATTTAATTGTAAAAATATAAYAATATTATCTTAATGATAAATATTTWATTATTATTGTTATTATTATTTTGTAAAAAATTTAAAAATATCAAAATTAAAAATAAATTTGAAAACCACTGGAAACCTCGAAAAAATGTCAAGTGAAAATGTAACACGAATTGCGTCTAGCAGTGGCGAAACGGCCGTGGTCTTTGAGAAGCGATTGCTTCTCGATTTTTTTTAAGGTTTGGGGGTGGGTGGGTGCCGTGGGTTTAATATATATAATAAGTACCTATAGCTGGTAAAGGTCGCCACACATTGCAGCGGTGGCGGTGGCGGTGGCGGTTACGGCAAAATGAAGCCGGACTCAATTTTACCGCTACCGCCAAGACAAAAGAATTTTACCACCACCGCTGCAGTGTGTGGCGACCTTACGTCGGTGGGTGGGTGTGTAAATTGTAAGTTTGCTAATGGATTATAGTATAAGTTCGTTTCGCCACTGGCGTCCAAGACGCAATTCTTTCAAAAAGGTTCGTCTACCTGTTTTTTTACGCAATTCGTGTGCACCGCATTAATTATACCTTGCAAATATCCTGCAAACAATAGCCGTTGATAGCCGACCTTTGACCGCAGATAGCAGTATAGCACGGTAGGACTAATTCGRTTCGCCGCGCGGTAGACTGAAAGGGGGATTACGCCGATTACGGGATTACGATGATAACGGTAACGGTCACGCTTTTTCGTTACGAAAAATTTATTTTCAGTCACCACGCCAGGCCTGCGATAAAAGCTATGCAATACCTATGCAATAGGTAGCTTAATAATCACAGCTAAAGATTTTATAAAAGACTTAGCACATGCTATGCATTTTAATTCATAAAGGGAGCCATACGCCCATACCATAATATCTGACTTAAAAATATGCCTAAAAGAATTCATTTGAAATACAACGGTATGTTCGATMAATTTTGACAATTATTGACCACAACAGTAATTTAAATACAAATCCTATTGGGAAAAAAATAGTTAGTTTAAAGAGCCTTCGRAAATATRCAACAAAAACTCGTTTTAAACCAATAAAATCAGAGTGGCGGCATGTTATATTAGAAAATCTATAAACTGTCAAAATAAACAGTTGCTCAGTCATATACATATTACTTAAGTATAAAAAGTATATTCATAGGTATTTTTATTTACCAAAAGATGAACATATAATTTTGAAAAAATACACAAAATGGTTATTGTTTATCATTTTATCATTAAATGATTTTTAAATAAATCCGTTCAAAAAAAAAAATAACTAAATTTATCAGTGAAAATAAGTAGCTGAAAGTAGCTATATTATACAAACATTTTATAAGTATACAATATACATGTATATTTTACATGATTTTTTACTTAAATAAAACTTATATTTTATACAAAATAATTTTTCCACACAATGAAATGTTTTTGTTTTGTTTTTATTGACAAGTTTTATTAATACCTATCAACATGCAAGAATGATCCCCACTGACCATGCTCATACAGAGGGATTATATTATGAAGAATTAATCTTATTAACGAACTAAGCAATGCTTTTATGCGTACCTACCTTACAAATTTCAGTAAAATATATTGAGGTTTTTCAAGAAATGAATTGATGTATGCCTATAATAGTTAATATTGTGGAGTTCCTTATGAAATCTGAACATTGCTATAAATACAATTTGTTAGCTTATAATATTTGCTTATGACTTTTCTGATAATATTAATAATATTTTTTGCTATTCAATATCTAAATATGTATATGCTACTTTAGGTGTAACTACTTTTTAACTAATTAAGATTGAATTAGCCACAATCGGCGTACATAATATTTTGTTAACCGTATTAAACTCACCACTAGCGGATAAGTGACTGATTTTTGGGTAAACAAATCAATATTATTCCAATTTTCATTTAAGATACCCAATGTAAAATGTATAAATAAATATAAAATTGTTTGGAAATTACAGTTCATTATCTGTGTTGTTTTACTTTATAATAATCCACATTAATATTAT